CCACGGGCGGCCCCGAGGCTGAACCAGTACCCACACGAGGCGCCGATCGCCGCGCCAACCCCTTGCCACACACACACACACACACACACACACTTCGCAAGCAGAGCTGCTGCCGGCCGCCCACGCCTCGCTCCGAACTCAGCCCCGAGGCCGAGCCGCCGAGCGGCAGGAGCCCTATACGACTCCCTGTGCCGCCAGTTCTCTACCCTCTCTCACCAAGTGCGCGCCCTGCCTTCCCAGCGAGAGCTGCTCGTACAGCGCCTCCACCGCGCGCGCGACGCCCTCGCGTCCCCTTCCTCAGACCTCACGCCTGACGGGGCGGCACCCGTCCACGCGCTGCACGACCTTCTACGGGCCGCGCACGCCCGTACAGGGCCCCCACCTCGGCTTTAGGCCCACCTTCCGCCAGCCCGATCCCCCGCGCGGCCACGCGTCATCGGTGTCTGGCTGCGGTGACGGGGGGCGCCGCCCCGTTGTCGGCAAGCCGCACAGCGGCCTAGCCCTTGTCTCCCGGCCGCCCACCAGGGCTTTGCGACCTGGGCCCTTTCTGCCGCGGGGCGCCGAGAGACGTGGCGCTTCGCCTGCTCAGCACCCCGCCTTCGCTTTGCACCAAGGGGTGGTTGTTTCAACGTCCCCCGTACCCCAAGGTGGGCACCACCGCTAAGCGTGAAATGGGGTCCTTGGCTACCACAGTAGCCGGCTGTCAACGGGATTCCCGCTACCTTGTCCGATCTCTATGTCTCGTTCTTTCTTTCTCTCTCTCTCTCTCTCTTTCTTTCTCTCGCCTTCGCCTTACAGATGCAGACGTCTCGCTCTGAAAAAACGTTCCACATCTTCTCTTCAGCCGCGTGTGGCGCCTAATTTCGAGGCGGACCCGGCCACGTGGCGACGAGAACGCACTGGAGGCTCCGAAAGAGCGGAAAACAATATGAAATCAACGAGGGTCGAACCAAGAACGTAAATCCTCAACCTCTTCCTTCAATCCTGTGCCGACTCGTGTCGTGATGGCCTGCGCGTCGATGTCTGACACTCTGGATCCTGGATCATTCAGTCTTGAGCGATCGCGATATTCCAGCAGCGGCATCCAGGCAAGGTTCTTTTGGGTACGCTTTGGGAATTTTGGAGCTCTCTTGGGCACTTTAGGGCCTTTTTTAGGGGTGGGTGGGCCCTGTTGGGGCCTTCTTGGGCCCTCTTGGCAGCTTCCATGGTCCTCGTGGGCCTCTCTTGGGAGCCTTTTGGGGCTTCTTGGGCCCCTTTCGGGTCTTGGGGCTCTCGTGGACAGTCGTGGGGCCTTCTTGGGGCCCTCTTCGGGGCCTCAAGGGGCCTCTTGGGCCGTCGTGGGGCGATCTGGGGCGCCTCTTAGGTCGTCTTGGACGCGGCACAGTCAAAGTTACGAACATGTGAAACATAGAAATTTCCCGTCGGGGATGGGACGATATTTTCCTCTTCGGGGTCCTCTTGGAGCGGTCTTGCGCTGTCGTGGAGCTCCTTGGCACCTCTCCGACCAGTTCTCTGCTTTGGATCTGCTGGCAAGGCCCAGCAAGACGCCCTTGGAGGCCTGGAAGGCCAGAGAGACCTCTTCCAAGGGCGTCCAGGGGGCCCCAAAGCCCCGGATCCCGGATGTTTTTTTTTGTTGGGGGGAGACCCACACCTCCCAGATTGCTCAAATATTGTCAGACTCTCTCTCTCTCTCTCTTTCTTTTTTTTGTTTTTTTTTTTTCTCTCTCTCTATATATATGTTTGTATATATATATATTTATATATATATAATATATATATATATTATATTACAAATACGTTTGGGGGGGGCGCTGGGGTGTGGCCCCCTGGCCCCATAAAAATGCACAAACAGGAAGACGTGTGTATATAGATCACCGTCCATACTTGCGTAAACGTATAAGTATGCGTGTGCATATCTGCGTATCAACTGGTGGACTTGAACAAAAACTGCTGTTGCAGGTCTGCGCGGACTTCTCGGATCGGCGCTGGACCCCCCTCGGGCGCCGGAGGCGGGGGGCCCCACCGCCGATCCGAGAGATCCGCGCGGAGCTCCGAACACTGATGTAGGGAACCGAACTCTATACAGGGCAGTTTTTTTAATGCATGGGAGATTTAAACATATAGGATTGCTAATGCATGGTCGATCTATGAAGAAATTTATGCATGAACTCATCCTTGTTTTGAATACTAGATCCCTGCATGTTTTATACATGATCCGCACGCGGAGCATGTATTGAAAACGGCACTGTACACCGACGCCTTTGTCTGGCCTCACACTGAATCTCGCACAGGAAAGCGGATCCTGGTATATGCGGGATCCTGGTGTATACACTCTTCGTTATCTTCCCCGGAAGACGGGGGAACATGTAAACACCACACCACCCCGGCGTCGTCCCCGACCCTCAAAAAAGTCCGGGGATTGAGAAACCGCCCGCCACTGGTAATGTATATGCTCCAGTTTCCGCTTATGCTCATGGCGTTTTTCCCCCTGGACCCCTCCCGGGTCCGAACGCACCGGCTTTCTGAGCTGCGTCAAGCACTGCTGGCGAGGGGCCCCCCGAAGGCCAACTACCGTTGTGTCAATCCGCCCTCCGCTGACCTTAGAAAGGCGCCCAGTCCAGTGCAAAGAGGACAGAACGCATCTCTCTCACATGGCGCTGTTGGGCGCCATTGGTCGCTGTTGGGCGCTACTTGAGACTTGAGCGCTATTCTGCGCAACTGGGCGCTGTTGGGCGCTACTTGGCACTACTGAGCGCTATTGGGCGCCAGTCGCCGATACACATTCAATCCAAAACGAGCGCAGGCTTCCGTGATTCACTAATTACGATGAGGGCAGTGGGTAAGGAACCCTTGGATCAGGAATCCAGGGTCTGCGGTGGAACAATCGTGGGCTGGTCATGGATATCACCGCCGCCCTCATCTGAGAAGGAGCCCTCCGGGGGAGGAGGAGGAGGAGGAGGAGGAGGAGGAGGAGGAGGAGGAGGAGGAGGAGGAGGAGGAGGAGGAGGAGGAGGGGAGGAGGAGGAGGAGGAGGAGGAGGAGGAGGAGGAGTGAGGAGGAGGAGTGAGGAGGGAGGAGGAGGAGGAGGGAGGAGGAGGAGGAGGAGGAGGAGGAGGAAGAGGAGGAGGAGGAGGAGGAGGAGGAGATGAAGCCTCCCGGGCTCGTCAACGCACCGCCCTCACCGTTTCCAGCTGGCCTGCGCAGCGTCTCGGCGAGCCGCAGCGCCGCCAGCGTCCACCGCGAGTTCAGCAGCGCCGGCAGCGCGAGCTCGAACCGGCACAGGCCGTAGGGGCCGTCGAGCAGCACGCGCCCGAAGCCGACCTGCAGGGGGCGAGAGCGGCGCTCCTCCTCCTCCTCCTCCTCCTCCTCCTCCTCCTCCTCCTCCTCCACGGAAGGCAAGACATTCTCAGGGCAGAACTGCCTGGAGGCAACACGCTCCACGGGGTCGAGGGAAAGCCTGTGCAGCACCAGTGCCCAGACTAGCACGAATCGAATTTCCCCCCCCCCCGGCTTTCACATTGGCGAGCGGTGCGTTGGAGGTGCTCGGTTCAAGATTTGTCCCGCCCCCTTTCTCCGGGAAGACATGTTCAAGATTAAGGCCAGGGGGTGGATGGGGGGTCAGTCGAAATGTTTCCCCAACGCCTGTTGCAGCGTTTGTCCGTCAACTGTGTCTCAAGGCAACAGATTCTGAAGGCAACAAGGTTGTATGGCCATCGCTTCTGCAGGCAACATCTCTGAAGGGCCAAGCGTTTGACTCCAATGAATCTGTTTGGCCCTCCGTGAACTTGTTGGATCTTGTTGGCGCCCAGGAGCCGACCTGCAGGGACGCGCAGCGCTCGTCCGCGCCGCCCCGGCCCTCCAGCAGCGCGCACGCGCCCCACCGCGCGATGGCGGAAGACCGAAAAGGCCAGCACGAAGCGCGAGCCTTCGGAGCTCCGCGCGGATTCCTCGGACCGGGGCCAGGGCCCCCCCTGGGAGGAGGAGGAGGAGGAGGAGGAGGAGGAGGAGGAGGAGGAGGGGAGGAGGAGGAGGAGGAGGAGGAGGAGGAGGAGGGGAGGAGGAGGGGAGGAGGAGGAGGAGGAGAGGAGGAGGAGGAGGAGGAGGAGGAGGAGGAGGAGGAGGAGGAGGAGGAGGAGGAGGAGGAGGAGGAGGGAGGAGGAGGAGGAGGAGGAGGAGGAGGAGGAGGAGGAGGAGGAGGAGGAAGATGGCGCGATCCGCCGCTCCGCGCGCCAGTGAGCGTGGCCCAGCGCCGATCCGAGGAGCCCGCGCGGAGGTCCGACAGCTCGGGCCTGTGCCGGCTTCTCCCCTCTTGGACCGACAGCGCGAGGAACCCGAAGGGGCACTCGACCTGCAGGCTGAGGTCCTGAGGGGCAGCGATCGGGCGCCTGGCGCTTCTCACTCTCTTTGGGGCCTCCCTGGGGGCTTCTGGTCGCTACGGTCGGATCCGCCTCGGAAAGCAGGTCAGGACGAACCCGAGGAGGGGCCGGGGAGGGCGATTTCGACCAGAGCTGGGTAGGCGGGAAGGCCGTCGCTGTCTCAGTTGTCCTTGTTCCAGCGTGGTTGTTTTTGTTCGATGGATCATCAGTGCGTGTGTAGAGATACAGGCCTCGGAGAAAAATAGCGAACACTTATGCCACACTCATCTGTGAACGCCTCCCCCCTCCCCCCCAATGTTCAAAGCTGGCGGTGGGTCTGATGAGTTGCACCTCGACCGCAGTCTCCCCCGCGCGTGCCAGCCTTGAGTTTGGGGGGCAGGGGGGGTGTCCACTTATTGTTTCTCTTTACCGTCGGGGGCTTTGTGGACCCCGGAAACGGCAAGGCCGTTTTTTACCGCTTCCAAAAAAATGCCACTTGAAAATGGAAACGGCAAAAAAACGGCGACCGGAAACGGCAAACAAAAACGGCTCCAAGATTGGAACCGAAACAGGAGCCAGTCAAAACACGGCGACGTAACCGGTAAACAAACGGCGTCGGAACCGGCAACAAAACGGCAGAACAGAGCCGGTAACAAAACGGCCCTGTCGTTTCCAGGGCCCGCTAAGGTCGGGGGGCCCTCTGACTCCAGATCCGCCCTACTTTGACTTTTTTCCAACTTAAAATTGCGTCGGAAATCCACCTATAAGGAGCCGAAAAAGTAGAGCGGAAATTTCTGCACCCAACATAAAATGGGGCGAAAATCCACAGAAGTAGGGCGGAAACAACAACAGAAAAGTAGGGCGGAAATTGGCATCAGCGGGCCTTGAAAAGTAAGGCAGAAATTCCAAGCCCTACTTACGAATTTCCCCAAAGTAGGGCGGATCCGGGCTTGAGGGGGGACCCCATCGACCTGGAAGCGGCGATGCTTCGCCGATGGATCGGCGATGCTGGCCCCCCGACAACAGAACCGCACGGCCCCTGGGCGGGGGCGTGGGCCATCGGGCCCCCAACGGCGATCGACGGGCGCTTGTGGTGGTCGACGCCTCGCCCCCCCCCCCCCCCCCGTGAGCCTATCCTTAAGTCGGGCCCGTCCCCCTACAGGAGGAATTTCGACGATAAATGAAAAATGCACAAAAATACACAAATCGACCTGGAATCGACCTGGAAGCGGCGATGCTTCGCCGATGGATCGGCGATGCCGGCCCCCCGACAGCAACACCGCACGGCCCTGGGCGGGGGCGTGGGCCCTCGGGCCCCCTGAACAGCGATCGACGGGCGCTCTGCCGTCGGGGGGGGGGGGGGGGACTGGCTCGAGGGGGGGGCCATCGACCTGGAAGCGGCGACACTTCGCCGATGGATCGGCGATGCTGGAAGGATCAAAAAACGACCCTACCCTGGGTTACCAGCGCGCGGTCTGTAAACCTCCTGGGAACCCCCAAAGCCTAGAGCCGCCAGGACGCGGCACATCACGCAGGGATGGCCCTGTCAACCCACAGGAGTTTCAGCGCACAGCGCCTCTCGGGGATGGACAGACCCCCCTTTAGTAAAACGTGGTTTCGTGAAAACGACCTGAGGCCCAAACCTGGCGGGCGCAAGCCTGGAAAATAACGGCCACGGCGCCCCATCGAGAACCGAGCACGGACAGTTCACTAGTCGACGTGTCACTGTTGGGGGTTCTGTCCACCCCCGAGCCTCGCAAACCAGGGTAGGGCGCCTCGTAAACCAGGGTACCCAGACCCCCGACGTCATCATTTTTTCATGACGTCGACCCCCCGAGATCTCGACCCATTCCCCGGGACTAGTTTTTCGTCCTGAGTCGTTTTTTGACGGTCCCGAGGGCCGGTAAGGGCCCCCAAAGGCGAAAAATAGTGAAAAACCTCCCGTCGTGATTTTTTCATAACTCGAGGGGGTCTGGGCAGGGGCGTTTTTTAAATGCCCTCGAGACACGGGCCCCCCAGCAGCAGAACCGCACGGCCCCGGGGCGGGGGCGGGGGCCATCGGGCCCCCTTAATAACGGCGATCGACGGGCGCTCGGAGGTCGACGCCTCGCCCCCCCCCCCCCCTATCCTGAAGTCGGGCCCGTCCCCCTACAGGAGGAATGTCGACGATAAATAAAAAATACCCCAAAAATGCACCAAAAAGGTCAAACATAGTTAATAATAATGATAATAATAATCATAATCATAATCATAATCATAATCATAATCATAATAATAGTAATAAGAATCATAATCGTAATAATAATAATGATAATAATAATAATAAGCATAATCATAATCATAATAATAATGATAATAATAATAATCACAATCATAATCATAATAATAATGATAATAATCATAATCATAATCATAATCATAATAATAATAATACTAATAACAATAATGATAAATCCCCAGACTATTTTTGGACTAGTGTTGGACTATTTTGGGGGGTATTTCTATATGTTTCGTCAAAACCCCCCCTGTAGGGGGACGCGCCCGACTTAAGCCTATCCCCCCACCGGAACGTGGCCCCCCGAGGTCCGAGAGCGCGGGCCCCGCGGCGCGCAGGCGGAAGAGCAGGCCGACGTAGTTGGCCCAGATCTCCCGCTCCGCGTCCTCTCGGGAGCGGCCAAGAGGGGGGTGTCCAAGAGGGGGGGGGGTGCAAATCATGACCGGCGGCATGTGCGCGGCCCAGCGGGGGGGCCTGGCACGCAATGAAACAAGAAGCGGCGCCATGAAATCTGGGGAAATATCGTGGCCCGCGCCATGAAATCCCCCCCCCCTAGTCATCACCCCCCTCTTTTCCGCCCCCGAGTCCTCGCCCCGGTAGCCCGTCGCGCGGGCGCTCCCGGTGAAGTCCAGCACCGAGGCCGACTGCTGGAAGGCCTCCAGGTCGTCCCAGACGCGCGGCGGCGCGCACGGAGGGGGGCGCGGGGCGAGGGGGGCACATGGCCTTCTCCGAGGGCCCCTGGCTCCAGGTACGCCGCCCTTTGCGATGATCCTCCGACTCGCGCTGGTGTCGGAAGTGCACCCCGCCGGATGCAGAACAAAAATAATAGATAGGGCGGGCACGTCCGCCCCGGAAGAGCACGTCCGCCATCCTTCTGCGGCCAGTTCCTCCACTGTGTGGAAGGCTTCCACAAACGAAGGGGCCCTGGGACACACAAATAACTACACAAATAAAGAGATTCCCCATAGTTTCCCACCATATTTTCTGGGCTTTTGTCGTCCCCCCCAATTCCCATATTTCCCTATATTTTCTTGGGGATCGACGATTCATTGTGTCTGTGTGTTTTTTCCCCTCCTGACTTGTTTGAGTCCGCGTCGAAGACACGCCGAATCCGCGCACCAGCTCTTCGAGCCGCGTCCGACCGTGGCGACGAGAAGCCCCCAGGAGGTGCAAAAATTATGAAGGCGGCCACATTCCACTCCTACAGTCGGGGCGTTGACCTAATGAACCTTAAATAAGGAGCGAGGCCCCTTTTTTCCCAAAGTTGAACTTCGACCCCCCATCGAAACCCATCGACCCAGAGCTGTCCACAGAGCAGGGCGGACATCCGCACGAGCAGGGCGGGCGCAGCGACGGAGAAACGTGGGGGGCGGAGCTCCGCAGCAGAGGGGCTTCAAGAGCAGGGAGGAGCTCTCCGCCCTGCGCCTCTCCAGTCGAGGCGTTGACCTAAGGAACCCTAAACAAGGAACGAGGCCCCCTTTTTCCGTAAGTGAAACTTTGACGTCCCATCGACAAGAGAAGGGAAACCGTGGGCAAGGCGTGGAACAATGAAGGAACATCGAGCCCCTCCCCAACGAAAAGGGTTCCTTCTTCAGCGCCCCGACTGTGCGCACGAAGCCGCCCAGAGCGGGGCGGATCCGGGAGTCGGCGAAGGGGCGAAGGTAGAGGAAAAAGAACCATGCACATACACCGCTTCTGGCCAGGCCCATCCCGAGCCCAGGACTGGTGCACACGCCCTCCTATTTGCCTTGGCCGGGAAGGCATGTGCACCGATCCTGGGTCAAGGATGGGCCCTGCCAGGATCGGTGCATGTGCATACAGGCCTCGGAAAAAAATAGTGAACACTCATGCCACATTCATCTGTGAACGTCTCCCCCTCCCCCGCATGTTCAAAGTTGGCGGTGGGTCTGATGAGTTGCACCTCGACCGCAGTCTCCCCCCCCGCGTGCCAGCTTTGAGTTTGGGGGGCAGAGGGGGGTGTTCACTAATTGTTTCCCTCTACCGTAGTTCTCTTCGCCCGAGAAGAGGGAGATGGCCCGAGGCCTCCGCGAGGGCGTCTGGGCGAGGCGTGCCGCGCGCCCCGCTCCTCCGCCTCTCGCCCCGCGGACCGCCCCACCCCCCCCAACCTCGGGGGGGCCCCTCCGCGGCCGGTCCCTCGGGCTGCGCACGACCCTGGCCGCGAGGCCCTCCCCCCCGAAAAGAAGAAGCACGGCACAAGAGCGACCACGAACACAAACATGTCAGCCAGCGTGGACCCCAACCGGTGCGTGATTGCGCCGTGGAGGTCAGAGCCGTGCGGTGGAAACTGTTTGGTGCAAGCACTTCTGGGTAAACGAGTCATGGAGGTGAACACGATGCAGTGCAAGCTGTGTGGTGCAAGATATGTGGTTTGGCCTATGTGGTGAAGTGTGGTGTAAGCTACGTCGTGTAAGCTCACGAGGCGCCTACGAGGCGTCAGAACCTCGATACCCTCAAAGCGCGGGCGGGGCGCCCACTAGACAGCACGGGCCCACAACGTTGCGAAAATCCAGCACACCCACACCCACAAGTCCAGTTCCGGAAAAAGCAAAGCAAGAACTTGCCAGCGCAAGCGCAGCTTAGGGGGAAGACACCAAGAATGTTAGCCAGCGCGGACCCCAAAGAGTGCGAGATTGCACTGTGGAGGTGAAAACTGCGCGGTGTAAGCTATGTGGTGACATCAGTCGTGTATGCGATGTGGTGTAGACTATGAAGGTAAAAACTACGCGATGTAAGCTACATCGTGTAAGCGAGGTGGTGTGAACTGGAGGTGAAAGCTATGTAAGGTAAGCTAAGTGATGTAAGCCATGCCGTGTAACATATTCTGTGTAAGCCATGTGGCGAAAGCTGTCGTGCAAGTTCAGAGCACGGGGGCGGCAACGTGGCGCAAGCCCAACATACCCCCCAAGCGCGGGAAGCGCCCACGAGGCGCCACGAGGCGGTGCGGGCGGCAACGTGGCGAAAGGCTCTCCACATCAACCAATCAGTAGAGAAAGCTAACTAACTAAGACCCCCTCAGAGCAACACGCTGCTTGGGGAACAAGCGAAAACAGAGCCGCAACCTCCCCTGCTGGCTGCACGCAGGAGCAACCCTGGGCGAGAGTGGCCTCTTGGTGCGCGGCAGCAGGGGGGCCGCGGGCCCAGACCCCCGACGTCATGAATTTTTCATCACGTCGACCCCCCGAGGTCTCGACCCTTCCCTGGGACCGGTTTTTCGTCCTGAGTCGTTTTTTGACGGTCCCGAGGGCCGGTGAGGGCCCCCAAAGCCCAAAAATTAGGAAAAACCTCCCGTCGTGATTTTTTCATACCTCGAGGGGGTCTGGGGGGAAGGGGGCACATCCAAACCCACCAGCCAGCGCTGGGCGGGCTGGCCGCGGCGGACCCCCCCAGTGGGCTCGCGCCAGCTCTGGCGAGGGGCCGCTCTTGCGCCGCAGCCTCCCCTCTGGCCTGGGCCCCCCACCCCTGCGCGCCTGCCGGGACGTCATCCCACAGCGGGTTCGCCCGGCAGTCGAAGTCGGGCAGCGCAGCGTCCGGGCCGGGCCACGGGCCCTGGCCGGCCGCCCCCTCCGCGGGCCACACGCAAGATGACACCCTCAGCGAAAGAGTGGCCTCGGGTGTGACTACCTACCAGACCACCCCCACCCAACCCGAAGGCCCGAATTTCGGGTTGGGGGGGGGGTAAGGGTTCCACACGTGTTTTTTCGACGTTTCCCGACCCCCCCCCCACTGGAAATCGAGGGTAAATCTCAACCCAACCCGAAGACCCGAGTTTCGGGTTGGAGGGGGGGTAAGGGTTCCACGCGTGTTTTTTCTATGTTTCCCGACCCCCCCCCCCCACTGGAAATCGAGGGTAAATCTGAGCCTTCGGGTTGGGTTGGGGTGGTTTGGTGGGTGGTGAGGGTGTGCGGCTTGAGGGGGAGAAACTTTTGAATGGCGTGTCGCGGCGGCAGCCCCTGGGACACGCCATGCCCTGCAAGCTTACGCACACATCGTGCCGCGCTGCCTCGCGGGATGGGAGGCTGGACAAAATCTAGGAGCGTTCATGCCTGGGGACCTGGACGTGCCTTGGCGTGTCGCGCCGAAGCGTGGTGGGCCAGAACCGGCGGCGCGACCCGCTGAGCGGGGGCCAAGCTCAGGCGCGCAAGCCGCTGCTGTCGCATCGCGTCCAGCCATCGGGGCCACAGTGCCCTAGCTCCGGATCCCCCGAACTTTGGGCGATTTCGTAAGCAGGGCGGAAAATGTCCGCCCTGCTTCTCAAGCTCCTCTGCTGTAGAGTTCCGCCATACTTTTCCGTCTCTGCTCCCACCCTGTGTCTGTCGATGTCAGCCCCACTTTGTGGACAGTCCCGTGGACAGGCGGACAGGAAGTATGGCGGACATGTCCGCCTCACACTTCTGAGTCGGAAGTACCACTACCCCTCTTTGCGTAGGAGGTCTAACGGATCTAACCGAGTTCTTTCTTTCCTCTTCCACAACCTCCTTCGTCCTCTTCGGGGAGGGGGTCACCCCTCCCCCTGGCGCCTCCCAGGGGTCTGGATGGAATGGGAACGGATGTGCCAGGTTTTTTTGTTTGTCGCCCAAGGTGGCTCCAAGAGGGCCTCCGATGTTCTAAGATGGACTCCATGATGGCTCAAGCTATCCGAGAATGTTTCAAGATAGCTTCCAACATACCTCCAAGAGGTCCCAAGACGGCCACAAGATGGCTCCAAGTGCCCTCGGAGCCACCCAAGGATCCCCCAAGAATCCCAAATCTTTCAAAACCAACAGGAACTCAATTAGTTTTGCCTTCTCGCCCTTTCGCGTACGATGGGCCCTTAGTAGGCCTCAAGATAGCCCCAAGAGGCTCCTCAGACGGCCCCAAGAGCGCCCAAGATCGGCCCAAGAACGCTCCAAGTGGGCCTCAAAAGACGGTTTCGAAGGCTCTGGCCCCCAGAGGCCCTCCGGGGCTTCCAAGAGGCCCCTAAGAAAGGCCCAAGAAGGCCCCGACCCCAGTACCCCCCAAACGGGCCCCGAGAGAGCCCCAAGAGGACCCTATAAGAGGGCCTCAAGAAGATCAGCTCTCATCGGCAGCGTTTGATCGCAAGCACACCGGGAAAGCCGGACGCCGTCCAAGAGTCGTAGCAAGCGGGCTACGAACTAAATTGAGCAACCGGAAAGGGGAAGTGGGAGGCAATCACGGATCAGAACACCTAATGCACTTGATCATAGCCAAAAGGCCGAGAAGGTAAGGCTGGTGGGGATACTTTTTTGTCGCGGCCGCCAGCGAAAGCGCATGGGGCGTCCGAAAAGGTCGAGCGGGCTACGCGCGAGCCTAATTAAACAGCGACCGGGCGCGGGATCAGAACCTACCGCTGGGGGGGCAGCTGGCTGAAGCTGAGCTGGCTGAGCTGGCTGCAAACGGCCAGGGCTGCATGCTGCACGCGTGCGGCTGGTGGGGATACTTTTTCGGTGGCGGCCGCGCGACAACGGTCTGGCGGCGAGAGGCAAAGTCCGGGGCAGGCGGCACGATGCGAATTGCGCACACTGCCGCCACGTTGGCAAGCCGGTTCGCACCTGCACAACAAGAAACTGGTGGGGATACTTTTTTTTACAGCCGCGGGCGGAAGCGCCAGCGGCGGCGAGTACTGGTGGGGATACGCGAAGCGTGAAGAAATTCCGCCATAGTTTTGCATCCTACGGGATGCATGTCCGACATTTGTCTGACGTCGGAGAATCGGCCCAAAAACATTTGTTCAAAGACGGAGAATCAATCCAAACTCGGCGGATCCGGAGCCATAGTGCGGCGTTAGATATTATTAGAAAACAAATCACGGAAGCTTTTGGTCGTTTCCATGGCGCCCAACAGCGCGCCCA